ATATATTTTTAAAATATAGTAATACTAGTAATAATTACCAGTAATGGTAAATAGCAAACTTCTAATTTTATATAAAAAATTAAAAAATTATTTAAAATATAATATATTTAGAAAATTTGTTAACTTTTCCCAATAATTCCTTATACCAAAATTTCACAAAAAAACTAAATTATAAAAATCTTATATGTATTATATTTTATATAAAACAAAACTTTATCTAGCTACTGTTAGGTACAAAGTTTATTCACTGAGTATTCTTTTACTGAAATAGAGTTAAAAAAGATTAATAGCAAACAGTTAAGCAAGACATCTTGGTAGGCTACAACAGTGTTGTCATAGAACAGCTTTAGACAATACTTTGAACAATCTTGGACAATTTTAAACAATTAAATAAAGTAAAATTACTTAAAATTTTATTAAGATAATCTATTTTAATTTTAATTGAAATAAATTTAGCATCTAAAAAAATATATAGTTATTTATTTTTTAGATAAATTTATTAATTATTAAAGCCTAAACAAGCTTTAAACAATCTTGAATACTTGGACAATTTTGAATATGAACAAGTCAAAAAAGACTAGTCAAAGGTATCTACTATTTTCTTACTTGAATCTTTCCAAATAGGTTTAGATTATTCTAGTTTCTTGGTATTTTTGTATCAAAGTTTCTATAATAAGATGATACAACCAAGATTACAGATTGTAGATCTAACCAATTGATGGATAATCATTACCTAATACAGATTTATTTTTTGAAAAAAGTCATCTATAAAATTCAACCTCTAGACTTGATGCTTGGTAAAGTAATAACTAGACCACTTCACTAAGCTACCACATTTCTTTCTTTTAAATAATTATAATTATATATAAACAATGTATATATATAATCTATTAGTATAATATTTTGATACTTACTTCTTTGCTAAAAAATTAAATAATAAATAATACTTGCTAATATAAAAGTAATTATATAAAAACTCAATTTATATATAAATAAATAAATATAAACTATATATAAAAATAAAAGCTTAGATTAACTTATTTATGATCTAAACTTACTAAAGTATCAAAATATATCTAAATTTAAACAAATAAAATATAATTAGTAGAGGTGTTTATTAAATCTAACTAGTAATCTATATATTAAATTTATAGTTAGCAAGCTTAGCAAATAAACAAGTATTAAAATTAGAGTATAATTAGTCAAATATATTATATAGATAGTTGTTTTTTTTTTTTTTTAATATTAAAGTTAAAATCTTGCTTTTATTTTTATTAGATTTAATAAAAACTTTTTATATTGCCAAAAAAGATTTTATTTTTTAAATCTAAAACCAAAAAAAAAAAAATTAAATATATATCTAAATAAATCTAAATACTTATCTATAGTCTAAACCTATCAGAGTAGTCAAGTCTTATTTAGATTTGAAGATAAATAAGAATAAGAAAGAGTTATAAGAATAATTTAATTTGGTCAAAATATCAAATTTTTACTTTATGAAAAAAATTAAATATAATAAAATTAGAAGAACTATTAGATATGAGAATTAGACTAAAAATAGATAAAATATTATTGACAAAGATAATATTATTAGTATTGTTTAAAGCAAAGTTAGATTGTAATCTTAAAATATAGTAGAAAATTTAGATAATTGTATAGATTTGTTGATTTAGATAAAGAAGAAGTTAAATATTAAGAGAGTAGACAAAATTGTTAAAGAAGATATATTCTTATAATGTGTTTATAATATTAAATAAAAAAAAACCCAAGATTGTAAAGAGCAATAATAGTTTAAAAGTAAAAAAGTAAATTTATAATTTATCAAAATTCATAATTTGGTTAAAAAGGTGTTGTATTTGGGTTGTAGTATTTAAAGTTTGCTAGAAGTTATAATATATTATAAAAAAATATTAAGAAAAGTTAGTAATAGCTTAGAAAAAGAGCAAGTAGCCTAGTGTAGTACATAAGTAAGTTGTTAACAAATATGATAAAAATTGAGATAAAAGTAATATCTTTGGTAAAGAATATATAAAAATAGAAAGTTGTCAAGTAATAATTTGATTTTAAATATTTTGATAATAAATAATTAAAAACTATATATAAAGTTTAAACCTTTTTAGTTATTATTAAAATAGAGCAGGTGGAAATATTAGAAAAAAAAAGAGACCCACTATTAAGAATAATGTTGAAAAAACTATTATACAAGAATATTTGTATTATAAATAGTTTATATGCTATAGTGAATAGAAGTTTGAATAGATAATTATTAAAAATAAAAACAAATAGAGGATTGTATATATTGTAAGAATTAAAAGTAAAAAGTAGTAAGTTAGAGTAATTGCAGGCTAGTTTATTAGCTTTGTTATTAAGTTCATTGTTTTGATATGCTAGAACTTTGTAGAAAATAATTAAGAAGTTAAAAAAAAAAAGTTTAAGAGTATGTTCCAAATTAACCAGTATGGAGTGTTTGAAAAATTTGAAGTTGTGGTAAAATATGAAAGACTATTATATTTTAATATAACTAATTAAGAGTTAATATAGATATTAATAATAGAGTTTTGTAAAACTATAGAAATAGCTAACAAGATTGCTAAAAGTTTAGCCTTAAAAGAACAAAGTCAAAGTTCAATTTGGGTTTGAAAGATGTATTGTATTATATGATTATTAATTTATAACCACTTTATATCCATAAAGCATTAGGGTTGTCTAGATTTGTAACAGAGCTTTTGATATAAAAAGTCCAGTTAGCTTCCTCTAAATGCATGTCCTCTAAATACAAGTTTTCTTTAAATGCAATAAAATAATTGTTTTTTTTTTATAATTTTATTAATAAAATTATAAAAAATACTATAATTTTTAAAATTTTACTCCATATAATTTATTCAATATAAATATATTTCAAACTTAAACAATTTATCAAACTTTGAAATCAAATTTAAATCAAATCAAATTTAACCAAAATGTTCAAACTTAAACTTAAACCAAACTCAATTTTATAAAAACCCTACTAATTTCTCTAATTAGTGTTTCGATCTGTAATCCGACCAAATTGGGTGGATCCTGATAATTGGATTAAATATGGATATCCGTATCCATTAATTTTTAACAGATGGATCCTAATTTATAATAGATCATGGATAAAAATAATCCTAGAAATCTTTTATGTGATTGATCACAACTGATAGAGTTCGATAATAAATACGCTGGCTAGAACTGAATTGAAAGAGACGTAAATATTGATTATGGTTGAAACTTAATGAAAGGAGAATCACTGCGTTGCATTATTATGCTGCATTTCATGACTTTATGTTTTATCAAATTATCAAATATATCGATCAGTAAATAAATGCTCACCCGTTTATAATAAAAAATTTCCTTAGATTATATCAATCCTATTAATTAATAATGAACTTATGCTAATGATAAACGCGAAGGTATTTATAACAATAATTATTCATGAATTTAGTTGTTTATATTAATTACTCAGATTTAAAAAAAACCATAAGAATAATTACTTAGTAAGTAGATATACGGTGCATTATTAAAGAGATTGGTTCGAATATTAAATCCAGGATGCCAACCGAAAATCTGTAAGAGCTCTTAAGCGTTTAATCATTTAACCTTGTAGGATTTAATTCTAACGATGCAATTAAAACTAACTTCCATTAGATTAAGATCATTTGGAATCACTTAACGAAAATAGTCTTAGCAAAGCTACGGGTAATCTAATAAAACATGTAAACCATAGATAGAATCCGGATTTAACATTTGAAATCGGATTTACCTAAATTCGGATTGTTATCGTTATCCGGATACACCAAAGAGGATCCGAATTTAATTCGAATGGTCCTTAAAAATTAGGATCGAAACACTACCTCTAATTGCATTTGATATTGATTTAATTCTTGATATTTACAAATAAATTTAACATTGGCTAGATTAGGTTCTTGGTACTTATAATATATTAATGTTGACTTAATTCTGGTGCCCACTAATATGTATATTCATTATGGCTTAGTTTTTAATGCCCACTAATCACATTTGAAATTGGTTTAATTCTTTAGTGCCTACTAATTTCTTCAGTATTTATATATATATGATGTTGGCTTAGTTGGGATTTTTTTTTATAAATTTGAAACCATTTTATTTTTTGGCATTACATTTTTTTTTCAGAATTGGTTTTGTGAATTACAGAGTAATTGATTATTTCTCTACGTGTTATCCCTGCAAGTCGTACTTGATTTATTTGTTAGCAATATAATAAATTGTTTATTAAAATATTCATAAACACATGATTATAGAACTTGCATCAGTTTACAACCGAGACATCTTAGATTACGCCTTACGCGCCTCAGATGACCGATCGACAGGTTACGCGCGTTATCTAAAAATCAACATCTGAGGTGCGTCGGATTGCATCCAACACGAGAATGTATCTGAGGCACAACATTTATAATGAAAGAAAGAAAAGTGAATGTAAAAAAAAAAACAAATAGCAGCACTATATATACGTTCATAATTAAAGATAATTATTATTTATTTAATAAAATATAAATTTTTATAATATTTAGAGTATTTAAAATACAATGATTGACGGATGCCAGATATTTTTGCATAAATTCTTGAATGTTAACAAACTTGATATTAATATCCGAGCCAGGAATTAAAATTTATACTTTTAATAAAAAATAATATAGGCAACAATATTATTTGATTTTCGTTCTTATAAAAAGTTAACGAATGATCTTAATGTCCACAAACAAATTAAATAAAAACATACAAGTAAAAACCTCCGAATTACTTAAGAAATATACGATGGAAATAATAGATAAACGTACAAAATGAATGAACTACATAGCAAAAGGTTTTCAATCTCTAGGATTTAAGTTTTCAATACTGTAATGGATTAGAAAGAAATATCGAGTTAATATTTATTAACGGAACAAAAAATAAGCAAATAATGAATGATTCATAAATTCTTACCAGTAATCAACCTTAAATTAAGTGGTATAATTAGTTATGCCCAAACTTTCTAGTGCAATAATCGCCGATTTTTTCCTTGCATCTTTCTTCTTACCACTCGAGGCAAAACCATAACTTTTCCCCTCAATAATGACTTCACACTCAAAATCAGATTTATTTTCAGGTTGTGGATCCGTGAACTTATATTCAGGTATTTGAAATCCTCTAGATTGAGCCCAACTTTGTAACATTCCTATAGGATCCCCTGATTCTATTTGCTTATTCATAGGACCATATACAGGTTCAGAAGATACATTAAGATCGTTTGTAGCCAATTCTTCCACAAATGGTTTAATAATTGGTTCCATAAATTTAATAACTTCATTTAGATTTCTTCCGGAATCCAAATAAATAGCGCCAATATATGCTTCAAAAGTACTTCCCAAAAGTCTATCATTATATCTATCTCCCATAGTACCTTTTCCCAACCTTAGCACATTATCTAAATCCAATTTACGTGCAAATTTTGCTAATGTTTCCTTACAAACAACTTGTTTTCTCAAATTAGTAAGCGCACCTTCATTACTATCTTGAAAATTAAGAAAGAGATAGTCGGAGGCAACAGTGCCAATTATTGAATCTCCTATCCATTCTAATCGTTCATTATGTGGACCATTTCCTGGATTTTCGGTGGCATAGGATTTATGAGTGATTGCTTCAATTTTTAATTTTTCATCAGTAAACGCCCATTTTTCAAATTTAAATTCACCCATTATTTTTTGTAAATCAAAAATAAATTAAAATAATTCTGATTTTGTTTTGACGAATACGTACAAGCAAATTTATAAGAAAAAAAAAAAAAAGTTCGGATTTATTTTCACATGTTATAATATAAAGCTATATAATCTTTTATTGTTAACTAAGTATTAACATTACATGTAACAAGATCTCCGGAGTGTGGTGTCCGTAAGTGTACATAAGTTTCATTGAAAATTTCACAGCAAGAAACAATAACACAATCAAAAAATTTATCTATTTTAGAAATCTTCCGTATGACCTACCTTTTATGTACATATGACGTACATAGATTTGTTCGAGAAGGTTCCGTTTTTGATAATTGATACATTTTAGGTTAAAAAAAGAAATGGAGTAATTTTATCTTTATCTATTTCTGATCTGATAAAATTCCGAAAAAATCGTGATTACGTATTTAAGACGCACGGTCGCTCTATTGTTTCCTTATAAGCAACACTTTATCTCTATCGGATATACTATATTAAATAAAACAAAATTAATGCAAATATATGTAACTATCCCCACGAATAAACCAAAAACAATCGACTAATTATTTAAATGTTATTAGATATTAATTCAAAATTTTCAATTGTTAACGAAACTCACCATCAATTAATGGATTTTATCGGCATAACTTTTCTTCAGGGACGTTCGTACGTTTCATCTCGAAAGTATACCTTATCTGATAATATCGTACATAACTAACGCTAAT